GCCCCAGACTGACCACGGGTTTGAAACGGACCCGGACGCCTTCCTGTTGGACGAACCCGCTCCCCGTAAAAGAAAGGTAACGCGGGGATGTGAGCGTGGGCTCGGCCGGCGGCCCGCGGGCCCTGCTGTTCTCAGGCTCCGTCCCGGCGCAGCTCCCTTGCTGCTCTGCTCCCTCATGACGTTCCCAGGAACGCTCCTCACTGCCCATTTCTTCCATCTCTGCTCCAGTTCCCGCTTCCTCTGTTGCACGCCTGAGGCTTGTGCACGCAAGGCCTGTGGTGGGTCTGACCCACGGTGCCAAGCACGGCTGCTGGCTGCCAGGCGCTGCCAGCCACCAGGCCCGTCTCCTGGGTCCAGGCTCTCTGCCCCTGCCTGCCCGCTTCTTTGGCCCGAGAGAGCCTTTCGTTGGGTTTTGTTTGAAGGAGGGGGTCCCCACAAGGTGAGGGTGAGAGGGGGTGAGGGAGAGAAGTGTATGCCAATGGTCTTGCCTTCCTTTCCCCTAGAACTCTGTGAAGGTGATGTACAAGTGCCTGTGGCCAAACTGCGGCAAAGTCCTGCGCTCAATTGTGGGCATCAAACGACACGTGAAAGCCCTCCACCTGGGGTAGGTATGAAGCCCAGGGCCTCTCTGCCTAGGGTACCGTTCAGGTCTCTCCCCTGGTGATCCCCCCAGACCTCTAGCCCAGAATGCTTCCGAGGAAATGACTTGCCGAGAGCGCCACCTGGTGCCTGTTCCTGGCCCCTCGTGCCCAGCAAAATAGCTTATTGGAGAGAGAGCTTTGTTGGGAAGGAAGGATGCTTCTATCTTGGTGAATGTTGATCTTTTCATGGGAAGGGAGCACCATCTGTCTTATGGGTGCGTCATCCTGCCTCACTGTAAGATTCGAGATGTTTTAGTTCTGGATAGAAATAGAGTGATTTGGTGGGACCCCATTGCGAGGCCTGCACCTGCTTTCCCTCAGGGACCTGGGGCTCTGATAACACTGCCGCCCTAGGGTCGGGGCTGCTCTTGGCAGAGGAACTGTTTCACAGCCCTTTCCCTGGAGGAGAGAACAGGACCAAAAGTAGGTGGAGCCCAGGCAGGGCTCTGAGTCAGATGACTCATGCAGGAGGAGAGGTTCGTACACACTGTGTGAGAGGAGCAGCCTTAGGGGCCAGGAGAAATAGTCCCATTGATGTGCAAGCACGTCCTGCCCGTGGCGCTGCATTGAGTGTTCTCTTAGGCTCCTTCCCTGACATGCTGGGTGGCCCTCCTTGCACCTCTTTTTCCCCTGTGTTTGAGCTGAGGCAGCTCGTCCCTGACCACCACCGTGTCTCCCTCCCACACAGGGACACTGTGGACTCTGACCAGTTCAAGCGGGAGGAGGATTTCTACTACACAGAAGTGCAGATGAAGGAGGAAGCTGCTGCTGCTGCTGCTGGCACCCCTGCCACCGACTCAGCCCCCACCCCCAGTGTGACCAGCCCACCCCTTGCCATTCTTCCACCACCTCCTCCCAAAGGCCAGACCTCAGGCCCAGAACACCCTGGTGTGGAGTCTTACCTGCCCTCTGGTGCTCTCAGCAAGTCAGCTCCCGGCTCCTTCTGGCACATTCAGGCCGACCATGCATACCAGGTATGGGCTGGGACATGCTGGGAGCTCAGCCTTGTGTCCGTGGGGACGTTCAGTGTCTGACCTGTCACTGGCAGCCTGATCACAGGCCACTGACCATTCTGATTGAAGGCTGAGCCCTTTAGCTTAATGGGCCATCTCTAACTTCTACAAAGAAGAAAAGGAAAATAAATCACACTCGATAAATGTGGGAATTCCCCGAGGTCTTCATCGGTGGCTGTCATGAGTGATTACTAGAAATCTGGTTGAATCCCTGAGCAACCAGGTTGATGGATTTGGACTGGGGAATTGTTATACTGATGGCTATCAGAGGGGATGGAGTCATGTAGTTGGGCTTCCCAGATCACATCCCTGGTCCCTAGAATTGTATTACATTAACAAACAATCCAGCACCCATTTTTAAAAATCCTATTATGTGTCAAGCAGTGGGCTAAGCTTTTCAGATAAAATGAGACATTGTCCCTGACCTTGTGAAATGCAGTGTTTAGCTGGAGAGAGAAATGCATATGTAACTATTATTGATTATAATTGTCAGTGTACCTTACCAGAGGCACAAGACATTGTGGGTACAGGAAGGACCAAGCTATTATGCCCGTGTGGTTGGGAAAGTTGTCAGGGGGGGGGAACATTTAGGATGGTCTTCACTGCACATAGTAGATATTCAGTAAATGCACAGCTTACCATGTGCCAGTTTTTCTTAAAATGCTTTTTGCCCATAGCTTGGTTTTATCAGACTCCAGGCTGATTTGCAAGTTAGTAATTAAAAAGCAGTGCTTTCAGTCAGAAAACCTTTACAAAATGAGCCAATTCTCCTCATTAGAATGAATGGTCACTTAGTTATTTCATGTTTGGGCAACTTCAGGTGGCCCTTCAGTCAGCTGGCTGCCCCTGGAGACTGTGGCTGGTGTTTTTTATAAATAAAACTAAATCTGGACATCCAGGAGAGTGTTGCTAATTCCAGGTGGTTGCTGGGGACCCCATATTCTTAGTGCAGTGATCCCACCATGCTCAGGAGGCTTTTGGACATCTTTGGGGAAATGGCTGTAGCTTGTTCTTGGTAGGTGATCCAGTCAGGAAGTTAATCCACTGTGATGAAGTCATGAGACTAGCATGTACACTAGCTCTGAGAGGGGATCCTAAAAAAGATTGGCATCTGGGACTAAGGAGAACTCCCAAGAGTTGGGTGCTCTGCTATTTCTCTTGTGAGGAGCATTCTGGTGTATCCCAGTGTTTCCAGCCAGTGACCTGCTGCACATCGTGAAATCCTAGGGAGGATGGGTAGACTCTGAAAGCCAGGACCTAGGCTGATGCTGTGTTGTCTCTGGCAGGCCCTGCCATCCTTTCAGATACCCGTCTCACCACACATCTACACCAGTATTAGCTGGGCCGCCGCCCCCTCCCCGGCCTCCTCCCTCTCTCCGGTGAGTGTGCCCATGTTCGAGCCTGTCAGTACTTCGGGGCCCTGGAACAAGCTAAGGGCCCTTCCACACATACCCGGTGCTGGAGGCTATCTCCCTGCGCTTGTCTTCAGCGCCCAAACTTCTTGAAGACCGCCCCCTCACCTGGCACTCTCCAGCTGGCCACACAGCCCCTCTTAGGAGGTGGAAGGAGCGTGCTTGCAGAGGAGCACCCAGATCATGCAAAATTTATTGCCAAGAAAGTCATGAGGCGAGGCAAGGGTCAGTGCCCTATTTAGCTCTGAGTGTCTGTGGATGCTTGTTAAGAAGGGGGAGAATGTGGGGAAACCTGGAGAGGAAGAAGGTGGGCAAGAAAGAAGGTAGGAGCTTGTGGGGGGTTGTGCAGGGTGGGTCAGAAATCTCGAGGCCACTGTGGACCGCTGCTTAGGTTGCTTGCCTCTGAACTAAAATGCATTGGAAGTTACTTGAACTACACATACTGGGTGCTAGTCCTAAATGTCTCCTATAGAAAGGTATCACACATTGTGAAGGCTGAGTGCCCTGCCCGAAGGTGGTGTTGAGGCGATGCAAGCCCTTCTTTTGTGTCACACATGGTGACTGCATCTCAGTCTGCAGGGAGCAGTCCCTGAAGTGGCCAGGTCAAGTGACTTCCCTGCCTGTGGCCCCTGCTCTCTCATGAGCGTGACTTAAAGGCTTGCTCCTTACTCTCTAGCCTCCCCTCTCTACCTGGCCCCTGTTCACCTCTACCTGGACTATCCTTCCAGAAAAGTCCCCCTGGCCTCCTGGCACAAGGAGGGGCTCCGCAGGTGTGGCTGCCTGCCCCTTAGGATGGTCCTCTCACCTGTCCTTACGGCCCTTCTCCCTGTGCCCAGGTCCGGAGCAGGTCGCTAAGCTTCAGCGAGCCGCAGCAGCCACCACCTGCCATGAAATCTCACCTGATTGTCACTTCTCCACCCCGGTCCCAGAGCAGCGCCAGGTGAGACTGAGTCTGTTCCCGTTGCCTCCCTCTGGCTTCTGTCCCCATTATCTCCACTTCTAGTATGGACTCCGAGTCCACCTGACCCTGGTCTCCAGGGTTAGTCCTGGGAACCGGGCAGGGGCGGGGGTGAGCCCAGCTGGAGGACACACTGGGTGCTGGGGAGACTCTCTGTCCTCTGGCCCTATTGGCTCCCACCCCTTCTAACCTCTGCTTGTTTGCTCAGCCTCACACTTGGCCACTCTCCAGGTCTAACCACCAGTTCGTGACTGTACTCTCATTACTCTCTTTTGGCAGGAAGGCCCGCGGGGAGGCCAAGAAGTGCCGCAAAGTGTATGGCATTGAGCACCGGGACCAGTGGTGCACCGCCTGCCGCTGGAAGAAGGCCTGCCAGCGCTTCCTGGACTGAACCCGTCCAACCGGCTCCTCCTCTTTGCTCCTGGCCCTGATGGCAGCCAGATGACAAAAGGCAGGCCTGTGAGCCCTCACAGACACCTACAGATAAAGAGTGGACACTGGGAGTTTGGGCTCTATTGGCTAAGGTTTAATACTTAAAACCTTTTTCCCTCCCTTGTGGGAACATTTTATTTTTTTTAAAAAAAGAAATGAACATATTTTTTCCCCTCAAATAGGAGAGAGCCAAAACTGACCAAGGGTATTCTGCAGCGAACTAGAGACCAAAGAATTAATTAGCCTCCCTTTCCCACATCCCCTCTCTCCAGGGGATTAGTTTGTTAGCATCAAGAAGGAACAGCTCATTCTGTTTCTTGCTGAGTTGGTGAATTCTTTGCTTTCTCAACTCGGCCAGAAGGGACTGTGAGCAAGATGAATTTACTTTTCTTTTTAAAAAGTTTCTGGCTGATGACTCAGAGAGCAGGACCTGCTGGATGGGGTGGGAAGAGTGAGGGGTACCTGGGCGCTTTTTTAATTTTTATTTTCGCAGCTAGCCCTTCTCCGCCTGAATCTGGGAGCGTGGAAAGCTTGTTCTCACCAGGCAGCTTCCGTGGAAGTAAAAGGAAAACCTTTGTCTGGTGACAGCTCTTTGAATCTGAGTCCCCTCAACGTTGGGTGGCATCCCAACACATTGTATGGCTTCTTCTCAAAGCCCAGACTAATAGTTTTTTAAAGACTGTCCCCAGATAGCTGAGCCAAAAGGCTACTATGAATTCACTTTTTGAAATGTGGAGGTAAAACACTACCTTGATAATGCTTTCCTCTTTCCTTGAGGAAAAGTGAGAGGGTTTGAGTACCCGTGAAAGCTCTCTGCTGTGGTCAGAGTGATGGCAATGACAACTCTAAAACACTTTGTTTTCTTTTATGCTGTATTCAGAAGTCTTTATCTGATTAAATTCCCTTTTATTTGGGTGGTAGGTTCCTCTTTGTCTCTGGCTTCACCAGGGATTTCCCCATTTCCCTCCCCAGGCTGCAGCAGGGCTGGCGGGGAGGGAGAGAGAAGAGCGTAGATAGATAGGCAAGTGGCACCTTGCCCCCGCCCACGGAGGAGGAGTTGACAGGTGTCCCATTATAGGACGGGCTCACCTGCTCCTTTGGGAGCAATCTGATCTTTTTCCTGAGGTGACAAGTAGGACAGGGACAGGACTCTCTGATCAAGGCAGGAGGCTTCTGGAACTTTTACCAGTGTTGGTCCAGTCCGATGAGGAGGAGGGTCACTTTGTTATGGTGTGACCTTCCCAGATGCCTGCTGAGCACCTTCTCGCCTGAAGGCAGGGTGGGGAAGGTTAGAGAGAGTGTGAGGAAGCAGAGTGAGGAGGACCTGGGGTTGGATTCGCAGCTCCTGGTGGTTCAGCCCCTGGTGTCTCTGGAGGCCTCAGGAATTGAGGGGAGCCTGGGCTGCATCGCTTAGGAGGTGGAGGAGATAGACGTGGGGAGTTCAGCACTGTGCCAGCCAGTGGTTGATTAAGACGGGGCGAGCTGAGCCTTGAGGGAAGGCACGTGTTTGCTTCGGAGTCTCACCTTTCTTCCCAGTGATTAATTGTGGGGGTTCCTTGGGGCCTGCTTCACTGGGACCACTGATGCCCAGCCGTCTTGGACCTATGTCCTCGATGTCAGGGGCTCAGGGAACCCCACCAAGCCACCCCTCTGGGGACAGAACAGCAGCATCCACCCCTTGGCTCTCATTGAGGGCGTCCTCTTGGCCCCAGGTGGAAATACCTGGCTATTTGAAGCTCCTCTGGCCACGTCAGGTGGGAAATGTGCATATGCCTTTGAATCCGAGACAGGTGGAGTGTTAGAAAACCTGCCGACCTGAGAATAGGGATGTGATTTTGTGAAGGGTGATGGGGACCTGAGTTTGGTGACAGAAGGAAAGACAGTTATGCACAGGTGTCTTTGGTGGTGATGGGGTATATTTTTATAACTTAGTGAAAAAAGGTATGTGGAATCTGTCCCTTGGTAAAGCTCGAAACCAGGCCAGCGAGAGGTGGCCAGGGTTCTTCTTTTTGTCCATTCAGCCTCCCTGAGAATTAAAAGCCAATAGCAGGTTGTTGCTTGTCCTGACTACTCACTTCCCATGCTGTCCATTTTCAGGTCTGTCTTCTCGGGGAGGGGAGGGCGTGTTTGAGACGCGGGGACTCTGCCCAGCAGTATCTTCCCTTCACTCCTTAATCAGAGCTCTTGCTGAGTCTCATCTTTAGAAAAGCTGTTCTCATTTCCCCCCTCAGTTTGGATCGTGTAGATATAACTGCATATAGATATTTTCTGTAAAGGAGGTAGCCTTTTCATGTCATTGGTACACAGGGCAGAGAAGGAAGAGAGAAAGAAGAAATGGATGAAATAATTGAAAAACTGAGGTGGTTTTTTATTTTATTTTATTTTATTCATGTTTTGTTTTGGTGCAGCTTTCCCTGTCTGCATTTGCTCCTGTCTTATTTTTGGCGGTGGTTGGCCTCCTCTGGCTTCCCTCTTCCCACATTTCCATCTCGTGGCTGTTGTGTTGGTTCTTGACATGTGGTCTGTCCTTGGGGTTACCCCATTTGTTTCCTCTTGGAGGGTGGGGGTGGTTTGTGAACTGATGCAGCGATCATGCCTGTTTTTTCATCTCTGTATCTCTCTCGCTACTTCCCAGCCCACCTGGGCAGCAGAATCTGAGAGAAGGTAAGATGCCATAGGTGCGCATTCAAAGCTAACAGGACCGACTGTCAAACGCAGTTATCTTGGGAAACTTTATTCCACTGACGTTGCCCTTATTCAAAATATTTCTTGGAATTACCTTGGGAGTCTGGGGCCTGCTCTGACCAGTCTTATTGATACTATATCTGCCCTCAGGCTTACTCAGTGCAGAGAGAGCCTGTGAATGTCTGTGGTCAAGTGAGGTCACAAGTGCAAAGCACAGGGACTGACTAGCGAGTAAAGTAACTTGGATTCAATTATGTGATGTTTGAGCTGGATGGGGAAGCCATCCTGCAGTTCCAGAGAGCGTTTTGAGCAATGTCCGTGTTGTGATGGGAAGCTTATAGCTTGACTCCTTGGAGGACATTATTAATTTGGATGTGGAAACTGATTTGTTTGAAGAAATCTGTCCTGTTACTTTCTGCTCATTCCAGGTTCTGACTACCAGGGGCAAAAAAACAAAAACAAAAAGAGAGAGAGAGAGAGATAAATCCCATTTGTGAATTTGTCTTACTGGCGCCTTTTCCCCCAGCTGTCTTCCAAGTATTATTTTTACTGTTAAAATTTTTTTTGTTTTTTTTTTTAAAATGTGAAATGTAATGTTTTTACAGCAACAATATGAAATATATTTTATAAGGAATAAAATGGTACATTGTCTGATTTAATGTGTGCCTGTCCCTGTGCCCCCTCCCCTGCAAAGGATAAGACTATCATTGTCCTCGGTGTCAAACCAATGATAGCATTCATGCTGCAGGCAGAGCCTACACATTCATTTGCTTAGAATAACTGTAGGTAATGTGATCAGGGACCATGTGCTTCCATGGATTACCTCAATAACCCTATGAAGGAGTTCCTGTTATTATCCCCCTTTTACAGATGAAGAGGAGAAGTACAGAGGTTAAATAACCCTCCCAAGGTCATACATTGGGAAATCATGGTACTAGGATTGTAATCCAGGCAATATAACTATTTTCTATATTGCTTATATTGACATTGGGAAGCATGTTCTTGGCCATGTTCCTGAGTCTGTTTAGGAGAAAATAAGTCACACTCTTTATGGGACCAGTTCTGACCTAGGGAGCAACATGGGCCACCTCCTGAATGCATCCGTTTCATGTACTGTGATGGCCCAAATGGCCAGTTAAAGCTGGTCTAGGCGGGGAGGGTGTTGGGAGCAGAAAGCAACATTCCACCTTTGCAGCAGGAGACCACAAGGAACCAGTTCTAAGGACCCTGAACAGGGCCTGAGGGTGAGGGTGATGCCACTCTGTGAAGGCCTGGGAACTCGTCATGGTTGGTCAAGCCCAGAAGCCCCTGAAGCTGATGTGGGAGGTTGTCCTTTGGCCTTTTTTTCTCACCTTGAGATAGAACGGAGGTAAGGTGCGTTTGCTCCTGTGTACCCCATCTCTAAGAAAGCCCAGATAGAATCTGCTGCTTTAATGCTGTTCGCCCAAGCCTCCCGAATCTGTACTCTGCCTTTGAGTTGGGCATTCTTCACTGGCGGCCCTGGTCCCTCCCAGGCTTACCTTGATGGCTGCACCTGCAGACCCCCTAACTTTCTGCTTCTGGGTGTCTGACCAACAGGAGACACCGGCTGGAGTTTGAGGGGCTGAAGGAGAGAGGAGTTGGGGTATTGCCGCTCCTGGCCCTTACTGTGCTGTGTGTGAATGGCGGCACGTCCCCGCTGAGAGCTCGGCTCAGTGGGTTTCAGTGACTTCCCCTTACCCTGGCTCTCCACCTCAACAGAGCGCCTAACCCCCCCTTACACTGCAGAAATCGACTCTCCTCAGTTACTCTGGGTGCAAGACGTTTTTCGGCTAGACTCTGATCGTTATACACCTTAACATGTTTCATGTTAAATTGGAGAAAAAAATGACACCAGCAGGTTTGTTGAGGCTCTGCCCCTTGGTTAGAGCATGGTCCTGATGTGCCAAGGTTCCCGGTTTGACCCCTGGTCAGGGCACATACAAGAAATAACCAATGAATGCATAAATAAGTGGAACAACAAATTGATGTTTTTTTCTTGATCTCTCTCAAATTTAAAAATAAAAAAATAAAAATTTTAATGCAAATTTCTACTGAGTCAGAAACAACAGGGGTGGAGGTCAGGACCCAACAACTTGCCCTTTGGTGACGTTGCCATGCACAGGGAGTTTCTGAGAACCTCAGCCCCTCTGCCCCACCCATCCATCCACCCAGTGGCATCTAGGACACAGCACAGGCCCGTGTTTATGCTCACGTATCTTGCTTGTCACACTTTACATAAAGCAGAGCCATGTACTTTCTGTCTCTGCCTCCCAAGAGAGGCAGCTCTGATGGTGTGTTTGGAGTCTGCGCTTCTCAGTGACTTCGCTTAAAAACAGCCAACCAACCTATTAACCGTTTGCTCAGAAGTTTAATGGAGAAATACCTGTTTAAAACAGTCGAAAAGAACAGCTCTTTTACAAACAAGTTATGGCAGTGACAAGTCAAAACCCCAGGCTTGCTGCCCTGTTCCTTTAACCCACCCATAGAAGAGAGAAGGGGTGGGTGAGGAGAGACGGGGCCATTTACATGTTAGCTGGAGGAATTACAAAAATACACTCTGATGTAGCAACTGGGTTGTCACGAAACATGCCATGGTGGGGGAGAGATGGAGGGGGCGGGAGGGAAGACAACCAGACGGAGGTTCTGCGCCCTGGGGGTGGAGACCTGGAGGCAAAGCCTGGCTCAGCGCTGTGGGAAGGAAGGAATCCGGATGCCCAGCCGGCAGGTCTGGGGATGGAGACATGCTGTTTTGGGGATCACCCGGACACCTGGGGAGACAGAAATAATAATGACAAACCAGACAGTGTTGCTGACTCTTCCATCCTGTTTGCCCTAGTGACCAAGAGATAGAAAGGAGGCAAAGAAAAGCTACCAGTCCAATAAACAGCCCCTAAAGCAGCAAGAGGGGTTCCCGAACTCTACACCTGTTTTTGCTATGTAATATATATAGACCTACTATATAGTAGACTATTATACCCCTGTATAGTCTATTGGCATGACTAACAATAAAGGGGAGGCCTGCGGGCTGGCACAGGATAGGTGTCCTGCCCGGAAACCGCTCTCTTATCCCTGGTATATGGAATCTATGTGTAGTAGTTTATTTCTTGAGGCTAAGTTATATGCTCACCTGTGGTTCTCTTACACTGCAAGTGCTCTTTAAGCCTGATTTCACTAATTCCTCACCACGAATGAATATGCTCACTTTCCACTGTCTATCACGGCCTGGGCCAACAGAGAGGAGACAGTATAGGGACAGGGAAGGGGACGGTAGACACCCAGGCCAGTGGTGTCCTCATCAATGTTTGGGCCTAGTCCTGCACCATGATGTCCTTTCTTCCTAACGCATCATTACACTTTCTGAGTAGGGTTCTTCAGCCCATTCCAGCATCAGCCCCGTTTCCTCCAGCTCAGCAGTATAGATTGGCACTGGATATCCAAGGATTATGGATTGGTATTGGCAACTGGAGTCCCCCAAGCTGGAGAAGCCTCAAGCGTGGGTAGGACTGGTTGGGGTGTGTGCAAGTGAATAAAAACAAGGTTTAAGCTGCCTGTTATGGACTTGTAAATACACATCCATCTTGGAACTTGGTGACCATGAATGTGTGGAAAAAGAAAGAGATGATTGCAGGAGGAGGAGAGCAATCGGTAAAACCCAAATGAGCTGGTTGATGTTTCTCGCGTTTCCATCAGGAAGTTTACATCTGAGCAGAGCAGCAGACAGAAGCTAGCTAGTTACCAGTTTTGTCTCAGTGCCTCTCGGTTGCAAACTTAATAGAAAGTGAGAAAAACCAATTGCCCGAGTAGGGGCTTGAATAGTTTTTTGTGTTTTTTTTTAAATAAATTGATTCCTGCAAACGTGACTGATTTTAAACTGTCTTTAGGAAAAAAAAATGGTTGTAATTCAGAATTAGACATGAGCTTCAGTTCCCTTAAGAGCCACTTTATAGAAGAATGTCTTTGGGAGAATTCAACCCATGCTACTTCTGAAAGATTTATTGTTGAGTATGGTGCAGATGCGGCCTCGGAGGAAACAGAATGCTCGTTAATGACCCAGGAGCATGACTTCAAAAACATTCAGGTTAATTCAGGGCCTTTGCAGATGAGTCATTCTGCTAAAATAAACACAGCAGCCTTCTCACCACCTGATACATATGTCCATATTTGGCAGCGGACCTTTTGCAAACAAGCTGGCCTACCTGCAAAGAGCTACGTGGGCTGCCTCCCTGCTGAAGTGAGTGCCAAAGATGAACACATGTATTAATATACTTTGAAGGAAGATTATTAACAATCTGGCTGCCTTTGCCAAATGGGATGCAAAATAAAACAGCACGTGCAGGCTTTTTCTTTTATGCCTCTGAGTCAGGGAAAAGCCCCACTTGGGTAATGTTTTGGAAATGCTTTGGGCCAACCGATTAGTTCCGTTGGGGCAAATTTTTAGACTGTTTCAGAAGAGGTCTGAGACGCTACAGATGATCTGATGCCCGTATGTAAATTAGGGCACATAGGCTTGATGGATTTTCGTAGATTTCCAGGAAATTGCACTGTGCTAGTTCTCTGTGCCACTCACCCGTTACATGTAGGTTGGTGGGCTGAGGAAAGTGGAATTTGCAGTGACTGGGCAATAAATCAGGGTCGTTGATGTTTATTATCTGATACGCCTTATAGGTACATGTATAAGCATAGCTGTGGGGGTAAGAACAGACCAGAAGGGAGAAAACAATAAGGGCAAGCGTGAAACCAACAAAAATAAACCAAACATGTCCCCGGAAAGAAGTGAGAAGTGAGGAAAGATGATCCCTTAGTCCCTGTTCTAAAAGCTACTGGGTGCGTTGGGCCAGATTCTCAAAGCTCTGGGGCGATGCCAGCAACAGCAAGGAGTTAGTCCATTCGGCCAGGTGGTAGGATGGACACCTGACGAGTGGAAGAAAAAGAGCAGAAAGTGTAGCTCCTGGTCCTAACAACAACTTCTTGACTGGGGAGAGTGGGAAAGTTTCCTGGTTTCCATGGAATCCAGTAACCTTGAGATATAGGCGGGGAGAGATGGAGACAGCTAAGCTGTTTTTGGAGGTGAAAGAGCAATATCACAGTCACAGAAATCAGACTCTTTGCCAGCTTCTAAGGGTCGGTGTAGCTACCGGTCTTAGAGAGAAAGTTTCTGAGGAAAGGTGAGCTGAATGGTTGCCATGGCAACTGAATAGGTCCACTTAACTGTCCCCATAGTAACTAAGCTCCTGGAGAGTTATAGAGGAATTAGTTATCTTAACCTACTCCTGTTATCCCCATGGTAACCAGTCTCTAAATGGCAGTGGTCAGCCTTAAGAAGCAATCTTAAAAAAAAAAAATCTTTGCTGCCTGGCTGGTATAGCTCAGTGGTTGAGCGTCAACCCATGAACCAGGTCATGGTTCAGTTCCCAGCCAGGGCACATGCCAGGGTTTCGGGCTTGATCCCCAATAGGAGACGTGCAGGAAGCAGCCGATCAATGACTCTTATCATTGATGTTTCTCTCTCTCTCCTTTCCTCTCTCTGAAATCAATAAAAACCTATTTAGAAAAATAAATCTTTGCTCCCTAGAGAAAGGGTGGGCAGGAGGCTGGGGGGCTGAATTTACCACCCAGGCCCCAGGGTGTGGGGGGGTGGGAGGGCT